GCCATTCCCAATCTGGCCTTATCTGGTCAGGCTGGGAGATGACCAGCTAAAACCAGCTTGATCAGCCTAGCAAAGCTGGGAGTCCAGCCAAAACCAGCTATATCCAGCTTAAACCAGGCTGGTCAAGCTGGTTTTAGCTGGATTTGGCTGGTCATTTTCCAGCTAAGACCAGGCTGGGAATGGCTGGAAACCAGCCTGGAAATGGCCAAAACCCCTCTAAAACCAGGCTGGTCAACCAGCTAAAACCAGCCAACGAGCCTAGGCTGGTTTAAGCTGGAATTTTCAGCAGGGTAGATAGCGGCGATCGCTCTGCTTATGTCACAGCAGCTCCAAACACCGGATATACAATGGCTGCAACCGAGAGACCATCACTCGCGCACCAATAAACTGTATAAACAGAGGTTGCACTGCATCTCTATGTATTTTAGCTGCTGTGACACGAGCGCAGTGATCGATCATGCCCCCACACATCATTTATCTACTCACATGTTGTAGCAACTATGGAAATCAGATTTCTCAACGTTCTTTAGAATATCTTCTTTTGTGTTTAACAGGAAAAGACTTTTTTCCTATCATGGGAGTCAATGGTTACCGGTTTTCAGCATTCTTCAAAATATCTTCGTTTCTGTTCAACAGAATAAGTCTTTTTTTTTCCTATCATAGGAGTCAATAGTTACCGTTTTTTAGCATTCTTCACAATATCTATATTTTTGTTCAACATAATAAGACTTTTTTTCCTATCATGGGAGCCAGTGGTTTCTGGTTTTCGACATTTTTCAAAATATCTTCTTTTGTGTTCCACAGAATAATTTTTTTCCTACCATGGGAGTCAATGGTTACTGGTTTTCACTTACATCAAAACATCTTATTTTGTGTTTAACAGAATAAAACTTTTTTTTCCTATCATGGGAGTCAATGGTTACCGGTTTTCAGCATTCTTCAAAATATCTTTGTTTGTGTTCAACAGAATAAGACTTTTTTTCTTATCATGGGAGTCAATGGTTACCGGTTTTCACCTACTTCAAAACATCTTCTTTTGTGTTCAACAGAATAAGACTTTTTTTTTACCTACTATGGGAGTCAATGGAAACCGGTTTTCAGCATTCTTCAAAATATCTTCGTTTGTGTTCAACAGAATAAGACTTTATTTTCATATCATGGGAGTCAATGGGTACCAGTATTCAGCATTCTTCAAAATGCTGTATGTATAACCCAGGATGTATGTTTTATGTGCGTCTTCCTCTGCTTGTAAACTCATGAACAAACACTTGCGATCGGTTCCTGAGATCGGCCAGATCAGTAAGTACCGATTGAGTCATTATTGAGTAATTAACGGACCGATACTGATCTGTGGCCGATTGATTGGAGCATCCCTAGTCATCAGATTCTAAATCCTTGAAAGTTTTTAATATTTACATTTTAGATGGGAAAAATCGTTCTGAAAGTGATCTCAATGATATCGTTATGCAGTTGTGGTGTGAACTTTGCTTTTCTTTAACACTGTGAACCATTATTAGAGCTAAATCTTTATCCTTATTTGTATAGTTATCATGCCTACATCCTCAAGACTGTAAATCATTCCTCTCGATCTTTACACAGGCTTATAAGAGGCGATGGGGAGATTTTAGAAGAAATCGTCAGCAAGGAGCGACACAAAGACATCAACAAGGTGCAAATCTCTTTTATATTTGACAACAAAAACGTGTTTGCAGACCGAAATCCTCTTAATAACAAGTCAAACTCAGTTCAATTCAATTCATCTTTATTGATATAGCACTTTCACAATGTACTGTAGATCGTGTCAAAGCAGCTTAACATAGGATTTCAGTGGTTACTGTAGGTCAAACTATGCATCCAATCTGATGTTATTAATGTGTCTTAGATGTGTGTGTGTTTCTGGATTAATATATTTAGTGATATGATGGGAATAGTTTTGGCTTCCCTGCTGTAAAATCCAGCTTAAACCAGCCTAGGATGGTTGGCGGGTTTTAGCTGGTTGACCAGCCTATTTTTAGAGTGGGATTTGCCACTTCCAGGCTGGTTTCCAGCCATTTCCAGCCTGGTCTTAGCTGATCAGGCTGGAAGATGACCAGCTAAAACCAGCTTGACCAGCCAAAACCAGCTTGACCAGCCAAAACCAGCTATGTCTAGCTTAAACCAGGCTGGTCAAGTTAGTTTTAGCTGGTCATCTTTCAGGCTGATCAGCTAAGAACAGGCTGAAAATGGCTGGAAACCAGCCTGGAAGTGGCCAAAACCCCTTTAAATACAGACTGGTTGACCAGCTAAAACCTGCTAACCATCCTAAGCTGGTTTAAGCTGGATTTTTCTGCAGGGAAGCCCAAACCAGCTTGACCATCAAGGTTTAAGCTTGACATAGCTGGTTTTGGCTGGGCTCCCCGTCTGGCTAGGCTGGTCAAGCTGGTTTTAGCTGGTCATCTCCCAGCCTGCCCAGTTGAAACCAGCCTGGCAATGGCTAAACCCCCTCTAAAACCAGTCTGGTCGACCAGCTAAAACCAGCCAACCATCCTAGGCTGGTTTAAGCTGGATTTTTCAGCAGGGTTCTTCTACATAAATTCATCTTATGTAATAAAGGTGTTGAACACACCTTCTCTCACACTCTGGTCTTCTTCTTCCAATCACCTCACTGTTCCCTCTGTCCGCCTTGTCACCATTACCTTCAAGCACTCTGCTCCTCAGGAGGAAGTGAATTCCAAAGCTGATCTCCGTAATTTAGACTCTTTCTCATTTTAAATCGAAACTCAAAACACATCTGTTTAGAACAGCTTATTCTCTTTAACTCAACAGCATTTTTAAAGTTTGTATTGTATTCTATTGACTATTATTGTGTTTTTATTTGAGTTGATTGTTCTAGCTGTCCTGTACAGTGACCTTGAGTGTCATGAAAGGCGCCTTTAAGTAAAATGCATTATTATTATTATGAAGTCTCTATCAGAATGATTCATAATAGCCTCCCAGTAAATTATAAACTTACTAAATTAATAATAGTATTTTTCTGAATTGTTTTTGTTAAGTCGTTTATTTTGGTAATGTACTTATTCTAAACATACTTCAGTTTGACTTATTCAGTTTTGTAAATGTAAGAAACTTATCAATTTAAATCATTTACATATTGATAAAAAAACTTGGTTACTCTTTAAATCTAGACCTTCTCGCTATAAATTTATTGCTGTAATGTACATTCCCAAAGAAACACCCTTATCTTTTTTATTTTCAGCCAAGATTTTAAGTATATGAACTCTTTAAAAAAACTCTTAATTTTATTTGATCATGTAAGACTATTTCTTGGTGTGAGTCTTATAAACGTGCATAATATACTGTGATTTAAGTCTGCTTTCTCTGCATAATAAAAACACTATCAAAAACCAGGTGCATATCTGGACCATCCTGAATCAGTCTGTTCACATTTTTGCTGCTGTTTCTCTTACATTTGTCTTTATTTTCTCGTTTTTTTTTTTGCACAGCAATCTACAAGAGGGGATGGAGATGCCTTCCAGAAGAGACTGGGGATCAGTAGGTAGCGAGGTGCTACATCGAAGACCAGTCCAGACCCTCTCCTGCATTTCTCCAACAAAAATTCAGTAGTTTTTTAGTAGTTATTTTTTTTATTCCACTCCCTTCATTAAATGTCATAGGAAGATGCTTGTAGAAATGCATTAGGCTCTCGGATGTTGTACAGAATTAAGTACACTCACTAAAGTTAATGAACCTCATTCAGTTCATCCAACAGTTTACAGATTTAACAGAAACATGTCTAAATCTGTGTCATATATGTCAGTAAGTGTGAAAAGACTTTCTTAATGGCTAATTTATTTGTAAATAAGGTCATTTGCTGTCTAAAAGTGTTCATTAAACCATCTTAAACATCAGCTAAACTGTGTTATCTTTATTGAGCAGAGGACTGCTGCACAATCATTCATTCATTTTCTTCTCGGCTTTACTAATCCGAGGTCGCCACAGCGGAATGAACCGCCAACTTATCCAGCACATGTTTTACGCAGCGAATGCCCTTCCAGCCGCAACCCATCTCTGGGAAACATTCACACACACTCATTAACATTCAAAAATTACGGACAATTTAGCCTACCAAATTAACCTGTACCACATGTCTTTGGACTGTGGGGGAAACCGGAGCACCCGGAGGAAACCGATTTGAACGCAGGGTCCTTGTAGAAAATGATGTATTTTCTTCCAAAAAGAGATGATTTTGTCACAATACCAGAAACAGTGAAGGAATGTTCCTTTGCCTTTTTTGCAGTTAGAGATTCCAGTTTTTAAAGTCAAGTTCAATTGGAGTCCACCATAATCATATTAACCAAGTCTGTGCAATTAATCAATATTCAGTTTCGATTTTGGCTTTCATGAATATGAAAAAAAAAAATAAAAATCAGAATAAAACGCTTACATTGCGTCATGTGCCTCTATAAATTCTACGATCTGTATTTTTTATTTCATAAATTGAGGTTTTATTTATGATACTCCCAAAATAATTTCGCAGAAATCCGCAGACTTTTACCAAAAGATTTTTCCGCAGAAATAGCAAAAAACATCCGCAGATTCTGTCTTTCCCTATGAGCTTGACTCACGGCACATTGGATGGATGCTTAAGGCTATTTAACGGATTGTATTTGAGTTACATTACAACATCAACGCTGTAAAAGGAACCGGATGAAACTGAAAATAGAAAAGCTTTCATCAGAAATTCATCATTGGCTGAAAAACAGTAGCTGTGCAGACCATATAGCCCATTATTTAATTAATTAATTAATTTATTTATTTCTTAACTAATTAATTTATTTTTGTCATTTGATGCAAAGATGATATAATAGATTAAAAATATAAATGTTAATACTTAAAAATATAAATATTAATATTTTAATAATATATATGTTTAAGGATTTAAAAATGTGATGACCAATGACAGTGGTCAAAGGGTCCGTTGGTTCGTTACGACCTGTTTACGTAACTATAGCAACCGCGCCGCCTGTTGATGATTTTGTTGCCAGAACCCACAGTGAAACGATCAGAAAAGGCACTTAGGTAAGGGTGGGGACGGTTAATAGGTTTTTTTTTGCTCTTAATTAAATGAAATCTCTTACCTTAGGGATTTTTCCCCGCAGGGATATCCTAACGTTAAATTACTTGAGGACTTTAAGGCAACCGGCACAGACGCAACGGCTGCAGGACGCATTTGTCAAATCGCGTCAGACGCAAAACGCAAGATTCACAGGTTATACATTTATTCAGCTCCACTCTGAAGATGTTAAGGCATGTTTAGTTGTATCTATTGGTAATTTATCGTGCTTATTGTGAAATTTTATGCGTATGTTTCAACCTACACAGAGGGTTGAGTCGTGTCGGATCACACAGCTCACCTGAGGAGATTTCTCGACATGGAAGACCGACGGATAACAGATTAACCTGCTGCTGCATTTCCTCAACAAGGTAGGACAGTAAATATGAAAGAAATGTGGATAATGTAACAAGATTGTCAGGGCATGTCAGCAACTAGGCAACAGAACAGTCCGTTGACGATAAAGTATTATGTCCCAAGTCTAGTATGTACACTTTTGTTACACACTTTCTTCACAAAAAGTAATACTTTTAGGACGTGGAAACTGGGACACATCTCTTTTCTAGAGCCAAAGGCACCTCACAAAACTTTATTTGATCATTCTAGCAGTTTTTATCGAGTACAATATAAATATGGTAGAGTACAGTATCTCAACACAACCATATTACTGCAATCAATGCAATATCTCAAACATTTAACCCATGGGTTGGGCCTATACATACATTACCTTTTGTAATGTATGTATAGCTTTAGTAACTGTGATGACATTGAGAGGTAAGGGGTTAATGCGACCCATGATGCTTTACGAGTTCTACACATGTTTCCAGCTAGAATAAAGGTGATCCTGTTGCTCAAGTGTGTTCATTAAACTATTACATCTTTCTAACTTTTATCTAATGTTTACTTTGCAAATCTATTTACAGGGTGGGCTATTTATATGGGTAAACCTTAATAAAATGGGAATGGTTAGTGATATTAACGTCATGTTTGTGGCACATTAGTATATGTGAGGAGGCAAACTTTTTTAGATGGGTGGTGATCATGGTGGTTATTTTGAAGTCGGCCTACTTGGATCCAACTTTTGTTTTTTCAATAGGATTGGAAAAATTGGAATTGAAAAACGATGATGTGCTTGGTTTTACCGCAACTTTATTCTTTCATGAGTTATTTACAAGTTTCTGACCACTTATCAAATGTGTTCAGTGTGCTGCCCATTGTGTTGGATTGTCAATGCAACCCTCTTCTCCTGCTCTTCACACACTGATAGCAACACCACAGGAGAAATGCCAGCACAGGCTTACAGTATCTGTAGTTTCAGGTGCTGCACATCTTGTATCTCGCAATACACACAAGTACTATTAAAACAATACATTTCTAAGAGTTTGTAAAACACACGAGAGTCTCACAATCCATTCAAATATAATATGCCGATGTGTTTTATTCATATCAGATACACATTACACAGTGAAAGTAACTAAAGTTGAATCTACTCTTCTCTAAGTTCACCAGCCACTTACTTGCATGTATATGGGGAGTAACTGGTGAATTTATGTGCTGAATCCTGCGTGTTCTGTTTTTTATAAATGAGGCATGCGTGTGGCTTCAAGTAAACATGGCGACGACCATCTCACGGTAGATCGCAATCACTTACATGTTTTTGTGAACTAGTAAAACTTCTGTGTTAGATTATATCTCATTAAGATAATTTTTCTTACCCAATTCACAATTAATTTAGCCTGTTTTAATCAAACAATCACTTAATTTTGAGGTGTTTTTTTTTTTTTTAAAACGACACAATTTCTTATGCTATTTCATGTGTCTAGTATGTGTCTTGATTTAAAAATATTTAGATATTTGGATTGAAAACAGGACAAAGTACTTAGTTTATTATTATTATTATTATTATTATTAATATTAATATTATTATAACAGCTCAGGGATGAGCTTTTTTGAATAAACAGTTTTTCTTTTTTATCTGATTCATCGATTAATTGGAAAAAGAATCAACAGATTAACCGATTAGTAAAATGATCATTAGTTGCAGCCCTACTTTAAATCATATTAACTGATGCAGTGTAACTTTCAAAATGATAACTTATTGCAGTAAAAACGTAACAGTGAACAGTGGAGTTTAATGCTAAATACACTAGCCAAGCACTTGATTTGCTCACCAAAGTCTCTGCATTGTCCTCTATCCATCAGGTGACAGTATGTACATTTAAACTAAATCTGATTATTTACAAGATTTAATTGAAATGTTTAGCTTTTAACTATAAAGCAAAAGGTTACATTATATTTAAAATGACAATCTTGAAATCATCCCTATCATTCTTCCACTCTTCTTAGATGCGATGGCGGGCAAAATCAATGGTTACCATGGGCCAACTTTGGCCCGCTCGCCGTTAGTTTGGGCATCTCTGATCAAGATTGTATTCTACTCAGCAAAATAATTACAATTTAACATGACTGAGAAAACATAACTAATAAAATCAAGCAAATATACACAGCCAACAAATTCAATCTCTTACATTGGTATTTTCATTTAATCAGTTTCTTTCTCTTGTGCCTTTTCAAGTGTTTCTTAAGCTGCACAGACTGTCTGAAACTCTTTGGACACTGATCACATCTGTACCGTTTCTCTCCAGTGTGGATCCTCTCATGTCTTTTCAGGTTTCCTAACAGACTGAATGTCTTGTTGCAGTATGAACACATGTACGGTTTCTCTCCAGTGTGAATCCTCTGGTGCTCCTTCAGATTTCTAGCTGTAATAAAAGTCTTCTCACACTCAGAGCACACATGCTCTCTCACACCAGAGTGGATCTTCTTATGCGTGTTAAAACTTGACAGATATGCAAATTTCTTTCTACACAATGAACATGAATAAGGTTTCTTCTTTGTGTGAACTGTAAGATGGCTCTTCAGCTCTGATGCCCTCAAAAATATTTTGCTGCATTGATCACATTTGTGTGTTTTCTCTCCATTGTGGATCAACATGTGTCGATTAAGACTTGATGAACAGCTGAAACTCGTCCCGCACTGAACACATGTGTACGGTTTCTCTCCTGTGTGAATTCTCTCATGTTTTTTCAGATCTCCTGCCCGACTGAATGTCTTGTCGCAGTGTAAACACGCGTACGGTTTCTCTCCAGTGTGAATCCTCTGGTGCTGTTTCAGTTCTCCAGCTGTAATAAAAGTCTTCTCACACTCAAAGCACTTAAACTCTCTCACACCAGTGTGGATCTTCTGATGTGCTTTTAAATTAAGTTGACGTGCAAATCTCTTTCCACACAATGAACATGAATAAGGTTTCTCCTTTGTGTGAACTGTAAGATGGTTCTTCAGCTCTGATGCCCTCAAAAATCTTTTGCTGCATTGATCACATTCGTGTGTTTTCTCTCCAGTGTGAATCAACATGTGTAGATTAAGGTGTGACGAACGCCTGAAACTCGTCCCGCACTGCACACATGTGAACGGTTTCTCTCCAGTGTGGATCCTCTCATGTGCTTTCAGATCTCCTGATTGACTGAATCTCTTGTCGCAGTGTAAACACATGTACGGTTTCTCTCCAGTGTGAATCCTCTGGTGCTGTTTCAGATGTTCAGCTCTAATAAAAGTCTTCTTACACTCAAAGCACATAAACTCTCTCACACCAGTGTGGATCTTCTGATGTGCTTTTAAACTTTGCTGATATTTAAATCTCTTCCCACACAATGAACATGAATAAGGTTTCTCCTTTGTGTGAACTGTAAGATGGACCTTGAGCTCTGGAGCACTCAAAAATGTTTTGCTGCATTGATCACATTCGTGTGGTTTCTCTCCAGTGTGGATCAACATGTGTTTATTAAGGTATGATGAATGTCTGAAACTCGTCCCGCACTGATCACATGTGAACGATTTCTCTCCAGTGTGAATCGTCATGTGATTCTTGAGACTCTGTTTGCATCCCAGACTCTGTCCACACTGAGTGCAGGTCAAACATATTTTGTCTTTTCTCTTCAGTGAGCCAGTTTTCTCTTTTGTTTTGACATGATGGCGTGTCTCCTCCATTATACCTGAAGTAAAAGTAAGAAAGCTGCAGTTTAAATCATGATAATTTTGATGGTATTTTATGCAGGTTGTTTATAAGTATGATCAGGAGGTCGTGTGCATGAATTCGGGCACTGTTAAGTGCACTGATGAGCTTGGTTCACTACACATTGAGACACACAGAGTAGAGACCGTCCTGATTGTAAATAAAAACTCTTAATTTGCAAGCAATCATTTTCAGATATAAATTGTAAAGTTTTAAAGAGAACATTATAGCTAAATAATTTGATTGTGTCATATAGCGATAACATATCAACCATTAAACAATTATAAATGCCTAAATTTTTCCAAGCCGTTCATTTCGGTTCATTCATGTTAAAAAGAGTTTAGAAAGCATCTTTTGTTTTTTATTACGTTTGATGATTTGAGCCACGTGATTATTTTGGTAATTGAATACAATCCTATCTAAAGTCCAGCCCACACTATGGCTGCTTCCGAAACCGCCTACTACTCAGTAGGTACTGCATTTGAATTTAAACGTACTACTCGGCCGTTAGAAAAGTACGTTCTATACAGTATGAATTTGAAAAGTATGAATGGAATTCAGATGTACTACATCCGCCATTTTGTCATGGTCACATGACCTACCTGCGTCAGTGGCGTCGATTCACTTCCATTCATGAATTCTCTCGCGGGGCATTATGGAATAGCGCAGCGTGCATGGGATGCGCACTCCAGAATCTCGCCGGAAGTAAGTCATCCAGGTACTTATCCCATATTGATTTTCGAATTCTAGGAATTCGGACACTACTCGTCTCGCACACTGATTTTAGCGTACTGTATAGTATGGAAGTATGCAGTTTCGGACGCAGCTTATGTGATTTTTAATTAGGGTGTCTGAGGAGTCTTAAAAACTCTTAAATCTACTGAAATATTGTGTTGTAAGTCTTAAAACCTTTCCTTTACTCATGTATATGAGCAATTCCAGCGTTATGGATGCGACATTTGCAGTAAAAACTCAACACATAAATTGACAGAGAAAGTATATGTTAACATTATATTGGAAAATTTAATTATATTTTCTAGAGCAACTAGCCACAGAGTTATGGGAGCAGAAGAATATCAATCTGTAAACGTGTTTTGTACTTTAAATGAGGAAAATAAACATGCGTTATGGATGTGACAAAAAAAGTCTGCGAGTTTACAGTATACAGCACACTTTGTAGAAATTATGTGAATTAAACTGCACAACCCAAAAGAAATAATGCTAATCAAAAGGATGAGAGTCGGCTCTCTATAAAACAAAAATGCTTGGTTTTATTAATTTAATATTTACACATTTCTGAGGAAAAAGTGTCGTTATGGATGTGACATCTCTCTGTTATGGATGTGATGCATGTGAAATTACCATTTGTGTGACTTTGGTAAATCAAATAGAATAGTTTGAAAACATTGACAGATGCATTTTTTGAGTATTTTTAAAGTACTGTAAAATACTTGCTTACACAAAAAAACCAGAAATGGTTTCCGTATTTTGGTAAAAACTTACATTTGCATGGAATTGCTCATATCTATCTGGCAACATCCATACAATCACCAACAGTCCATCTCAATAAAACTTTATGAAATGTTTTTATTTCTATTACCATAATGGTTTAATTACTTTCCCTACAGCAACATTTGTTTAAGAGTTCTCCATATATTTACTGCTGAGGACTGACCCGAGCTATATTTGTTATTCATATATTCATTCCTTCTTTCATTCATTTATTTTTCTTCATCTTATTCCCTTATTTATCAGTGGTCACTACAGCAGAATAAACTGCCAGCTATTCTGGCATATGTTTTACACAGCGGATGCCCTTTCAGTACCAGTACCCATACATTCTCATACACACACACACACACTCGTACAATACAGCAAATTTAGTTAATCCAAGTCACCTATAGCGCATGTTTTTGGACTGTGGGGGAAACCAGAGTATCGGGAGGAAACCCACACCAACACTAGAGGAACATACAAACTCCACACAGAAATGCAGACAGCCGGGAATCGAACCAGCAACCTTCTTGCTGTGAGGCCACAGTGCTAACCACTGTGCCACCTCTATTTGTTATCATTAAATTATTATTAATATCATCATATTATTAAATGTATTCAATTACAAACATTTTTTTAGGGGGGCAAGTGAAAATCTACTTGCTAGAATGCTCCTTTTCCTACTTTGGTAGTCAATGGTTACCGGTTTCTAACATTTTTACAACTACTTTTGTGTTCAACAGAAAAAAGAAATTTATAAACGTTTAAAACAGTTAGAGATTGAATAAATAGTGAGCACATTTTCATTTTTTAAACTATACTTTATATCTCTTAAACATTTGCAAACATACTGTGGTATTTTGTGCTTTATAGAGTCAGAAATGAACATACAGCACACTTAAGTAAACTTTAAAGACTAACCACATTCAAACTTGAAAAGGAATGTGCTGCTAACTAAAATATGACACACAACACAGAAAGAATACATTTAAAAATACACATAATATCGTGACAGAACATGAGCTAATAGTGAAGGAAAGCAACATACCTGTATATAGCTGAAACAGATGAAGAATAAAGGCGAGAAGTCAAGAGATGCAGTCGGATCTTTCCAGTCTGATTTGGTGTGTGTGTGTTGTTCATCTTAAAACATTCACACACACAGAATGAATTGTTGTTTCAAGGTCAAATGGCTCATATCAGACAGATAATGAGCAGAGATTCTTAGTGAGGGAGTGAGAAAGAATTTCAGACAATCTTCAGCTTAAAGGGACAGTTCACCCCAAAATTCAACACTTACTCACACTCAAGAGGTTATAATTTCTTTATTAATTTCTTTATTCTGTTGAACACAAGAGAAGATATTTAGAAGGAAACTGGAAGCGTGTAACTATTAACTTAAACAGTAGCCAAAATGCTGACATATTTTCAGCTTCCTTTAAAATATTTTCGTTTATGTTTGACAGAAAAAAAGAAAGTCATAAAGGCTTTGAACAAGTAAAGGATGTGAACAACAGATTCTTTTCTTTTTCACGCAAGACTAGTTAGTTTTGTATGTTGTTTTCCCTTATTTACAAGAACCCTCATTTCACCATGATGTGTTGTCGTGTGCTGTCTTTGAGTAATATTTAAATTTGTTTGGTGATCTGAAACATTAAGATGTGACAAACAAAATAAGAAATCAGTAAGTTTATTTAGAGCACATTTCATACACAATGGTAATTCAAAGTTCGTTACTTAAACAACAATAAAAGAAACATAAAACACAACAAGTATAAGAAATAAAACTAGCAAAGAATAAAAATGATTAAAACATTTAAAATATTTTTAGAAATGGTTTAAAGGGAATGAAATAAACAAAGATACAAATACTGTGATCAGTCAGACGTAGCCCAGTGCTCATTCAGAAAAGGCACAGCTAAACAGACGTGTTTTCAGTCTTGATTTGAATGTGCCTAATGTTGAAGCACATCTGATCATTTCTGGAAGCTGATTAGTGGAGTAGTTGCTGAAACCTGATTCTCTCTGTTTTGACCGAACTCTTGGAATTTCTCATTTGCTTGATCCTAATGATCTTAACAATCTGTTATGTCTGTGATGTAGTTTTTTATAAACAAATAATAATGCTTTAAAATCTGTTGTGAATGTGACTGGGAGCCATTGTAAAGACCTGAGGACTGGTGTGATGTGCTCTGATCTTCTGGATGAGCTGCAACTCAAAGGGCTCTATTTTGACGGTCCATGCGCAGGGCGCAAATGCTTTCAGGGCGTGCCAGGACGCGTTTTTGCTAATTTAAGGACGGGAAATCTGCCTTGCGCCGTGGCGCATGTTCTAAAAGGGTTGAGTTTATTTTTTTAATGAGTTACAGGTGTGTTTTGAGAATAAACCAATTAGAATCTTATTTCCCATTCCCTTTAAGAGTCAGCTGCGTTGCGCCAAGAGCGCATTCGCTATTTACAGGACGCAAAGTAAGTCTAAGTGGAAAAAATGAGCATTTCACAAGCAAACAGTTCACAGTTTTTTAACAGAAAACTGTTAAACAGAGCATCTACTGCGTGAGAATGAGAAATAATGGATCACTTTCACTTTCGCTCTTGGATAGGGAAACTTTTACGCAAATACATCAATTAGTATTCTAATGAAAAATCTATTATAGATTCTCAAAATAGCAACGCGCCAGCGGTCCGCCTCAGAACTCCTTCTTTTTTAGACCAGAACGCCTATGGGCGCACAAATGAGCGCTAAAGCATTTGCTATTTAAACAGCGTAGCGAAACGCCTCAAAACGACTCTTAAGCCAAGCTCAAACTACCAAAAGACTACTGCGCCTTGCCTTGCGTCACACTGCGCCGGGTGTATGCTAGAGCCCTCAGTGTTTTTGGGAAGCCCATTGAGGAGGCCGTAACAGTAATCCACCCTGCTGGTGATAAAAGCATGAAGAGGTTTCTCTAAGTCCTCACTGCAAACAAAGCATCTAATTCTTGTAATGTTTTTAAGATGATAGTGTCCTGATTTACTAACTGCTTTGACATGATTACTGAAACTCAGATCTAACTCCAGAGTCACACCAAAATTCTTGACCTTATTTTAGTTGGTTGACCCCTAGAGCGAAGGTGCATTTAACTTGAGAACCTCATCTCTGTTCCCAAGTGCAATGACTTCAGTTTTCTCTTTGTTTAGCCGAAGAAAGTTTTGGCACATCCAACTGTTCATTTCATCATTGTGTAGCTGTTTAATCGTGATTATTGATAATCGTATATTTTTTGTAATAATCAAATAATCAACATTATTAATTGTGATTAACTTTTTGAGCAAAATAATCGTGATTAGCATTTTTTCTGTTTTTGTGCAGCCCTAATGTATATATTTATATATTTGCAGATTTATATCGAAATACCGGAAATGGGTTAAAAAATCATAACACCGTTATTGAAATAAAATATATCGCGATATAGAGTGATATTGAATTATTGTCCAGCCCTACATAGACGTCTTTAAACAAAGCAGCAAAGAATGAACTCTAAGATGGTTCTTCAGCTCTGGAATCCTCAAAATGTTTTGAAACATCATGTATGTTTCTCTCCAGTGTGCTCTGGTGCCGTTTCAGTTGTCCAGCTGTAATAAAAGTCTTCTTACACTCAAAGCACATATACTCTCTCACACCAGTGTGGATCTTCTGATGTGTTTTTAAAGTTAACTGATGTGCAAATCTCTTTCCACACAATGAACATGAATAAGGTTTCTCCTTTGTGTGAACTCTAAGATGGCTCTTCAGATTTGAAGCCCTCAAAAATGTTTTGCTGCACTGCTCACATTTGTGTGTTTTCTCTCCATTGTGGATCAACATGTGTTGATTAAGGGCTGATGAATGTCTGAAACTCGTCCCGCACTGAGCACATGTGAACGGTTTCTCTCCAGTGTGGATCTTCATGTGTTGATTAAGGGCTGATGATTGTCTGAAACTCGTCCCGCACTGAGCACATGTGAACGGTTTTTCCCCAGTGTGAATCATCATATGATAATTAAGGTATGATGATTGTCTGAAACTCGTCCCGCACTGAGCACATGTGAACGGTTTCTCTCCAGTGTGGATCTTCATGTGTTTATTAAGGCCTGATGATTGTCTGAAACTCGTCCCGCACTGAGCACATGTGAACGGTTTCTCTCCAGTGTGGATCTTCATGTGTTGATTAAGGTTTGATGATTGTCTGAAACTCGTCCCGCACTGAACACATGTGAACGGTTTCTCTCCAGTGTGAATCATCATATGATAATTAAGGTATGATGATTGTCTGAAACTCTTTCCGCACTGAACACATGTGAACGGTTTCTCTCCAGTGTGGATCTTCATGTGTTCATTAAGGTGTGATAAAAGTCTGAAACTCGTCCCGCACTGAGCACATGTGAACGGTTTCTCTCCAGTGTGGATCTTCATGTGTTGATTAAGGCCTGATGATTGTCTGAAACTCGTCCCGCACTGAGTACATGTGAACGGTTTCTTCTCAGTGTGAATCTTTATGTGTTGATTAAGGGCTGATGATTGTCTGAAACTCTTCCCGCACTGAACACATGTGAACGGTTTCTCTCCAGTGTGAATCATCATATGATAATTAAGGTATGATGATTGTCTGAAACTCTTTCCGCACTGAGCACATGTGAACGGTTTCTCTCCAGTGTGGATCATCATGTGTTCGTTAAGGCTTGATGATTGTCTGAAACTCGTCCCGCACTGAGCACATGTGAGCGGTTTCTCTCCAGTGTGGATCATCATGTGTTTATTAAGGCCTGATGATTGTCTGAAACTCGTCCCGCACTGAGCACATGTGAATGGTTTCTCTCCAGTGTGGATCAACATGTGTCGATTAAGGGATGATGATTGTCTGAAACTCGTCCCGCACTGAACACATGTGAACGGTTTCTCTCCAGTGTGATTCATCATATGATAATTAAGGCCTGATAAATGTCTGAAACTCTTCCCGCACTGAGCACATGTGAACGGTTTCTCTCCAGTGTGGATCATCATGTGATTCCTGAGACTCTGTTTGCAGCTCAGACCCTTTCCACACTGAGTGCAGGTCAAACATGTTTTGTTTTTTCTCTTCAGTAAGCCAGTTTTCTCTCTTGTTTTGACATTATGGCATGTCTCCTCCATCAGACCTGAAATAAAAGTAAGAAACTGAATTTTTAGTTCGATTATTATCATTAAATCATGCTTATTCTCATTCCATAAGCAAAATACACTAATCTTACAACCATCACTTTTAAAACATTTGTTGTATAATAACTATAAAATCATATTATCGTGCCTCCTCGTTAATTTTAGAACATTAAGGGCCAAATACCAAACTTGTCTGAGGTTGGTGGGCCAAAGCTAAATAAACCAAACTGTATTACATTATTGGCTAAAGCTATAGGTGACCTTTTTGTTTTCACAAGCTTTGGAGACGTAACATAAATTCTGCTTTTTAATAAAAGGTCACCTATAGCTTTCAACATGAGGCTGTGTTAAAAATGACATCAACGTGTTTAAAGTGCACTGCAAAGGGAGCACAATTGTAAACATGAAGATTGCTAAAACTGAACTTTGAAATTAGTTTGAAAGCAAATTACACCTAAGAGAGATGATCTTAACGCTTTTGTTTTTTTTTTTAAATAATTTCAACTTTGAATGTTAGAATGTTCTAAATGAATAGGGCATAGGGGGGATAACTGGGAATAGAACACAGCCAGGAACTATGTTTCTAACTACAGCTTCAGAGGTGTAGTTGCAAGCATAGAAGTTTGCAATGCAGTTAGCGAATGTTCGTTAGACAGATGGATTTGGGAAATGCCAAATCAGCAAACTATACACTGAAAAAAATTATTCAAAGATTATTCTTTGGATTTACCCATTTTATTTATATTAAGTGGTTGTAAACAATATATTTGGGCAGAATTTAAACAAACAAATTTAGTTGAACATTATTAAATTAAATTTTTTTGTTTAAATTCAACACAAATAAATTGTTTGCAACAGTTCTGCATGCAACACTTTTTTCAGAGTATGTTTGTAACGACGCAACTTGCGACTTTGATTGGCTAACGATGGTTTTCGGAAACCCAGCCCAGCTCGATCATTCATGTAAAAAAAAAAGTCTCCCGTTTGTTATTGTGTATGATCATTTGTTTCACGTGATTCACGCTTCTGAATTTCTGTTAAGGGAGCATATGCATATTGATGCCACCTGATGGTCACGGTGCATTGTGGGACTTTTCAGTGCGCGAATAGTTTAATGCATTGGAAGATTTTTTAGATTGAGACTGCGCTGAATATACCTGACTCCCTGATCAGTACACTTATTACTTAACAAGGGTGCTGATTGAGATATACAGCCAGCCAGTGCTTCCCACACATAGGGCTCTATTTTGACGGTCCATGCGCAGAGCGCAAAACGCAGGGCGCAAATGCTTTCAGGGCGTGTCAGGATGCGCTTTTGCTAATTTAAGGACGGGAAATCTGCCTTGCGCCGCAGCGCATGTTCTAAAAGGGTTGAGTTTATTTTCTTAATGAGTTATAGGTGTGTTTTAAGAATAAACCAATTAGAATCTCATCTCCCATTCCCTTTAAGAGTCAGCTGCGTTGCGCCAAGAGCGCATTCACTATTTACAGGACGCAAAGTAAGTCTAAGTGGAAAAAAATTAGCATTTCACAAGCAAACAGTTCACAGTGTTTTTAACAGAAAACTGTTAAACAGAGCATCTACTGCGTGAGAATGAGAGATAATGGATCTACTTTCACTTTTGCTCGTGGATAGGGAAACCTTTACGCACAGACATCAATTAGTCTATAAATAAATACTTTTATTTGTTAAGCGCAAATATTTGTTTCAAAACTATTTCTAAATTCAGTTCTAATTTCCAGCAAACGAATAAATGAATAATAATAACAAAATGTGCTCAAAAACCTGAGTTATATCCTAAAACACATGCTGTGCCCCATATGGTCTTAAACCTGACAGGTGGGCAAATCTAAGCTTGTTTTTAATAAAACAAATATAAATATGGATATAATAAATAATACTGCTAATAATAATAACATTATACAAAAGCAAATTGTTATGAATGAACTGAAAAAGCCTCCCGAGATGAAGAAGACATAAAAGCAGTGATTTTTTATATTTATAGGCTAGAAAATAATATGTTTTGTAATATTTTAATCCTTTATATTTATATCCTATATCTATTCTTATTATATCCTATATATATCCTTAATATTTACATTTATTTCATATGTATAGATATTTGCCTGTTGCTCTCTTGTGTGTATTAAGCAGTGCGTAAGCGAGGCGCAACTCTGCGCTGGAGTTTAGACCGGGTTAGTTTTGGTCTAATGAAAAATCTATTATAGATTCTCAAAATCCGCCTCAGAACGCCTTCCTTTTTAGACCAGAACACCTATGGGCGCACAAATGAGCGCTAATGCATTTGCTATTTAAACAGCGTAGCGAAACGCCTCAAAACGACTCTTGCGCAAAGCTGAAACTACCAAAAGACTATTGCGCCACGCCTTGCGCCACACTGCGCCGAGTGTATGATAGGGCCCAAGGGCTTTACTTGGGGCGGGCTACCCAGATATATTAACAGCTGCCCAAGTATATTAAGTGACACTTTTTTTCCACTGTGTTTAACATATTTTTACATGTTTTTGTATCCACCCAAAATCCAAAATAACAATAGCATAATTTTGTATCCACATTGAAAATAAACCGTGTATAACAGTGTCATAATAAAACAAATCAATAATTATTGTTAAAAATGATATTATGTTTTTCGCATATAGTTAACTATTCATGTGATGTGGGTAAATGGTGAGTTTTAATCCAGCAACCACCGCAAGTATATTTCAAACCTGTGGGAACACCGACAGCTTACAGAATGAATGACAGTGTTGTTGTTTTTTTTAAAGTAAATGATGACAGACTTTTTATTTAATCTTTCCCTTTAACATACTAGTTTGTCAAATAAAAGCTAGTATGTTAAAGGGAAAGTATAAATTAAATTAAAATTCTGTCATCATTTACTCATTCACTTATTACAAACCTGAGATTCTTTCCTCTGTTAAAGACAAAAGATGTTATTTTAAAAAATGTTGTAAACCTGTAACCACTGACTTCAACAGTATTTGTTTTTCCTACTATGGAGGTCAATGGTTACCGGTTTGTAACACCTTTCAACATAACTCCTTTTGTGTTCAGCAGAAAAAAAAAGTTTGAAACAGCTTGAGAGTAAATAGTGAGCACATTTTTATTTATAACTCTTTCTTTAACTTTGGATATCTCTTAAACATTTGCAAACATTCTATTGTGTTTTGTGCTTTAGAGTCAAAACTGAATAAACAGCACACTTTAGTGAACTTTCCAGACTAATCACAAAAAACTTAAAAAAGGAATGTGCTGCTAACTAAAATATGACACCCAACACAGAAAAAATACATTTAAAAATACACATAATATAATCGACACAGCAGGAATAAGGGGTAATAATGAAGGAAAGCATCATACCTGTTTAAATCTGAAACAGACCCAAAATATGAAGAATAATGGAGAGAAGTCAAGAGATGCAGTCGGATCTTTCCAGTCTGACCTGGTGTGTGAGAGTTGTTCATTTTAAAACATGCGCACACACACACACACATGCAGAATGAATTGTTGCTCTGAGGTTAAAGGACTCGTAGTGGACAGATAATGTGTGCATTCTCTTAGAGGGGGAGAGAAAGAATTTCAGACACTCTTATGCATTAAGGGACAGTTCACCCAAAAGTTCAACATTTACTCACACTAAAGTGGTTATAAACCTTTATGAGTTTCCTTATTCTGTTGAACACAAAAAAAGATATTTTGAAGAAAGCTGAAAACTTACCTTGTAGGAAAAGTCAAAATGGTTACAGATTTCCAACTTTCTTTAAAATATCTTCTTCATGTTTAACGGGAAAAAAAGAAAGTCATGGAGGTTTTAAACAAGTAAAGGATGTGAACAACTCTTTCACGCAGGACTATGTACTTCAGAACTCTGTTTTCCCTTAATAATAAGAATCTTCATTTCAAAGCTGCATGATGTGTTCACTTGTGTTGTCTCCGAATAATATTTAAATTTGTTTGATAATTGGAAATATTGCGACAAACATGCAAAAAAATAATCAATGAAGGGCCAAACACTTTTTCGCACCATTGTATATATAAAGGGTTCATACGGTCATGGAAAACCTGGAAAAGTCATGGAATTTTGACATGGCATTTTCCAGGCCTGGAAAAGTTTTGGAAAAATAGAAAAACCCACAAAGTTTTAAAAAGTCATGAAAAACAGATATCTGTATACTTTTTTTAACAAGTGTTTTTATTAGTTTTATATTTTCAATAATTACCAAACAACACAACAATAATAAAAATACAAGGAATAAGCAAAGAAAAAATAATGGTAATAATAATTAAATATCTGTATACTTGAATATAGGTTATTTACTTCTATTCTGTCCTTGGCCAATCACATACTCTCACATTAGTGTGGTGTAAGCATCTAAATCAATTTTTACAAATATGAGCTGAAACTAAATTGTTGCATGTTTTACAATATATATATATATATATATATATATATATATATATATATATATATATATATATATACACACATTACAATATGCTGTAATAAATTTAAACATGTACTGTTCTTCTTTTGCCACGCATAAGTAGACACTGCATGAAACATTAGGTCATAAAAATGTACTTGGAAGTCTTGGAAAAATCATGGAGTCATGAAATTTCCATAGTAAAAATGTGTATGAACCCTGTAAATATTTGAGAAAATGCCTCATACATACATTACTGGTCAAATAAATAAATACATTTATACATATAAATAATATTATTTTATTCATCAAGGTGGCATTTATTAAATGTGAAAAAAGAGTGAAATACTAAATATTTATTTATTACGTATTGTATGTAGTTTCATATAAACTTATTACTCCAGTCATTATTGCTTTTATTACTATTACCATTAATAATAATAATAATAATAATAATAGCAATAACAATTAATATTAGAGTGATTTCTGAAGGATCATGTATAACTCTGAAGACTGGAGTATTGAAGCTGAAAAATTCATCTTTAAATCACTGGAATAAATGATTCAATTAAATGATAAATTACTTTTAAACCGTTACTTTATAGTACAATAACATTTCATAATTTTACAGTTTGTACTGTATTTGTGATGAAATACATGCAGTCTTGGTGAGCAGGAGAAGCTTTAAGCATTTAAAAATCATACCGACCCCAAGCTTTTGACCGGTGATGTGTATAAATAAATGCTTGATTTTTAAAAAATATATTGATCCAGTCAGGGGCATTTATATTTAATTCATTTATTTTTGTTCATGTTTTTTCTTTACAGTTGTCTTATTTTTAAAGAGGTGGTCTGCTACGATATCATATTTTAAACTTTAGTTGATGTGTAACGTAACTGTGAACATAAACAGCATCTCTGAATGTAAGACGCTCATAGTTCTATGCAATTGGATACATTGACTTTTACAGAGTAAGCTTAACAAAGCCTACAGCAAATGAATTTGGGGACTACAAAAATATATACCTGGGCTTCTGAGATCAAAAGGGCTTCAGGTTATGCACTGTAATGTAGCAGAGAAAGCTAAAATGGCGTCCGTCTCTGCTATTTCCACAGAGCATCTTCTGTTTCTGTATTTGCGATTCCAAAAGACACGACACAAAGACAGAAGTGCTTACTGTTTAATTTTCATTATTTTCCAGAGAATTATAAAAAAAAGATATAGCTAGCATTTGACAAAGGAGAACTACAAGAATGTCTCTTAGTTCAGTGCTGGATTTGGCTAAAACTCCTCCAACCGATGAAGCTGTGATAGCCGATCCGCGAATCACAGCCCATCATGTTAGTTGACCAATCAGAGCCTCTTGATGGCGGGCCTTTCAAAGGAACTAGGAAATATGACAGTCATTTTCATGTTAGCTGAGTAGCTGTATATAATCAAAGTAAGATATCTGAAAAAATAACAGGATTTTCTACAAATGAACCATGAGCACACATTGCTTTACAACTTATAAACACAACCAACCCTAAAAATACACAGTGTGGACCACCCATTTAACAGATTCTTTGCTTGTTAGATTGTGTATGCGTTTCTTATTCATCTTTCTGTTTCCCATTCATTCACCGCGCCGCCTGTGTTTCCCATAATCATTATTTTGATTTGGTATTTTGGATGGATGTTTTGGATGTTGTTAATGTTTGTGAAATATTTTATAAAAACTGTAAAAAGAAACAAAAGTCACTCTCGTGTAAATCTCTTGCTACACAATCCATCCATTTGGATGTGGATCCATTTTATAGTCTAGTGTGGATCTTCTCATGTGTTTTCAGGATTCCTAACCGACTGACTCTCTTGTTGCAGTGTGAACACATGTACGGTTTCTCTCCAGTGTGGATCCTCTCATGTCTTTTGAGGTTTCCTAACCGACTGAATCTCTTGTCGCAGTGTAAACACATGTACGGTTTCTCTCCAGTGTGAATCCTCTGGTGCCGTTTCAGATCTCCAGCTGTAATAAAAGTCTTCTCACACTCAAAGCACATAAACTCTCTCACACCAGTGTGGATCTTCTGATGTGCTTTTAAATCTGACTGACGTGTAAATCTCTTTCCACACAAAGAACACGAATAAGGTTTCTCCTTTGTGTGAACTCTAAGATGAACCTTAAGAATTGAAGCCCTCAAATATATATTGTTGCATTGATCACATTTGTGCGTTTTCTCTCCAGTGTGGATCAACATGTGTTGATTAAGGTGTGATGAACGTCTAAAATTCGTCCCGCACTGATCACATGTGAACGGTTTCTCTCCAGTGTGGATCATCATGTGATTCCTGAGACTCTGTTTGCAGCTCAGACTCTTTCCACACTGAGTGCAGGTCAAACATTTCTCATCTTTTCTCTTCAGTGAGACAGTTTTCTGTCTTGTTTTGACATTACAGCCTGTCTCCTCCATCAGACCTGAAATAAAAGAAAACCGCATTTTAAATCAATTATCATTAAATCTTGATCAATTTCAGGGTATCTTATGAGTGTCATTCAGGTATCAGTATGATCAGTAGGTCGTGTGCATGAATTCGGGCACTGATGAGTTTGGTTCACTACACATTGAGACACACTGAGCATGACTAGAGACTGTCTACCTTGTACATCATAAAAACTGATATTTACAAACAACAGCAGAGCTAATAATTTATAAAAACAGTTTTTAAGAGAACATTATAGCTAAATAATTTGATTGTGTCATATAGCGATAACATTTCAACCATTAAACAATTATAAATGTCTAGATTATTCCAACCCTATATAGTTGTGTTTATTCGGTTCAATCATGTTAAAAAGAGTGTAGAAAGCATCTTTCGTTTGGTATTTCGTCACGTGATTCTCTTGGAAATTCACTATAACCCTACCTAAAGCCCAGCTCACACCATGCAATTTTAATTAACTTGTCATCAGACTGTAAGATCTCTGTCATCGTTTACTCATTCACGTTTCACAAAACAGTTTTAGTTTCCTCTGTTAAACACTGAAGTAGTTATTTTCAAAAATGTTGTAAACCTGTAACCACTGACTTCAACAGTGTTTGTTTTTCCTACTGTGGAGGTCAATGGTTACCGCTTTCTAACATTTTTCAAAATAACTCCTTTTGTGTTCAGCAGAAAAAAGAAGCTTATAAAAGTTTGGAACAGTTTGAGAGTAAATAGCGAACACATTTTCATTTTTAAGCTCTTCCTATAGTTTTGGACGTCTCTTAAACATTTGCAAACATACTATGGTGTTTCCTGCTTTATAGAGTCAGAAATGAACATACAGCACACTTAAGTAAACTTTCCAGACTAACCACAAACTAACTTGAAAAGGAATGTGCTGCTAACTAAAATATGACTCACAACACAGAAAATGAAAATACACTTGAATATCGAGACAGCAGGAATATGAGCTAAAAATGAAGGAAAGCAACATACCTGTTTAACTCTGAAACAGACCCAAAATATGAAGAATAAAGGCGAGAAGTCAAGAGATGCAGTCGGATCTTTTCAGTCTGACCTGGTGTGTAAGAGTTGTTCATATTAAAACATGCGCACACACACACACACACACACAGAATGAATTGTTGCTTTGAGGTTAAAGGGCTCGTAGTGGACAGATAATGTGTGCAGACTCTCAGAGCGGGAGAGAAAGAATTTCAGCTTACTTCAGCTTAAAGGGACAGTTCACCCCAAAAATTTAACATTTACTCACACTAAAGTGGTTATAGACCTTTAAGAGTTTCTTTATTCTGTTGAACACTAAAGAAAATAATAAAAAGAAAGCTGGAAACTTACCTTGTAGGAAAAGTCAAAATGGTAACAGATTTCATTTCATTCCAAAATATCTTCTTCATGTTTAACAGGAAAAAAAGAAAGTCATGGAGGTTTTAAACAAGTAAAGGATGTGAACAACTCTTTCACGCAGGACTATGTACTTCAGTACTCTGTTTTCCCTTAATAATAAGAATCTTAATTTCAAAACTGCATGATGTGTTCACTTGTGTTATCTTTGACCAGTGGTGTAAAGTAACTAATTACAGATACTCAAGTTACTGTAATTAATCACTTTTTCTCAGGAATTGTAATGTACTAAGTTGTTTTAAAAATGTGGGCATTTACCTTCCCTTGAGTACATTTTTATCGATACTTTTTCTTCACTACTTTCCTTCAACCTGCAGTCACTACTTTATTATTACTTGTCTAAGGGTATTAGAAAAATAAAATCAGTCATGTGACTCCTGTCCAATCAAATCGCACAGAAAAAGTAAATCACATCAAACTGAACTACCTCAAGACGTAGGCACGTTATAAAGCAGCAAACCACTTGGAAGCATTAAAAGTGTCTAAGAAGATGTTGAAAATCTTTACTTGCAATGATCGAGAGACTGTTGAGACTGCAAATCACTGATGAGAAGATGAAGGATGTTTACTTTATGATGATAGTCTTAATGCCATAATTACTGACACCCCTGTGAATTCAAATGAGCAGTCTAAAGCTTAGAGTTTCCTTCAACAATAACTTAATGCAGTACAGAATGTTACGTTTACACACACATGCACAAATTACATGTAAACGCATCAGCCTTTCACATCTTAACACTCAATACTCTTGAGTACTTAAAAGGGCTACTTTATACTCATACTCTGAGTAATATTTACAATAGATATTTTTACTCGCACTGCATTTTGGGCAAGTAAAGGTACTTTTACTTAAGTATGATTTTTCAGTACTCTTTCAACCACTTTCTTTGACTAATATTTAAAGGGTCATGCAACACCAAAACACATTGAGCTGTTGACAGTCGTATATGTGTCCCACGCTGCTAAAACACTATTAGAACACATATATTTCACTTAAAGGTGAAAATTGGTTGTTTTTGCGTTATTTCGAGCAAATTCAATCTCCCAGTTTGAAAATAAATTTTGAAGTTGCATCACTGCGATTAGATCCTTGTGTAATTTCCAACGTGTAGACTGGATTTCTGTACTGGTGGCTACAACGTCACATCTTTGAGCTTTCAGCATTAGTTCATGAGAAAGACTTGGTTCAAACCAATCAGCGCGCTCTATTGTGTATGCGGTGCAACTTCATTAATATGCATGTTATAGCTAGGCCCACACGGAATCTGCGCACACAGAAGTTTTAGCCTATCATTAATTCTGTTTATTTACTTGAGTAAATGTGCGTAATATCTATATTTATTCAGTTTTTTTAATTAATTACAGTAATTTTATTTACTAATATGATAATGTTTATCAGATTTATGTACAATGCAGTTTGTACAGTAATATTTTCTGTCTTTTAGTAGAGATATTATGTGAGAGACTTGCTTTGTTTACCAAATAAAGTGAATCTAATTGGATTTGCATTTTAAACATTAAATAAAAGTTTAAAAGGTATTAGATTTTATTTCATATATTAAGGTTTTAGTTATGATACTCCCAAAATAATCCCGCAGAAATCTGCAGACTTTTACCAAAATTCTCCGCAGAAATAGCAAAAAATGTCCGAAGATTCCGTCTGGGCCTGGTTATAGCTTCGAAGACTGTTTTACCTGTTACAGTGTTCAGACGGCAGAGAGAGGCCACGTTGTGTTGCCAACCGCAACTAAAACGAGTGGAGGAAGAAGAATTGTTTGGAGAGATGGGTTGTTAGTTTTGCATTTATAAATGTGCTGATACGAAGGTTTTGTTTCTATTTCCTGCTATGAGAGCGCAGCTAAACTCGCATGTGTGGATTACAGTGGTCTGCTAACATACGACATAAATATGTTTGTAAGAAACCTGTTTTACCCGAAAGCTTTTCTCATATGGAAATGGTGAAATCCGTATTTGCCGTTCATCTCCTTTTAAAAAAAGATGCGGATCCAGTTGTTGTTGATTGTTCTCTCTCTATAGATTTAGTAAGTGTGTGATTAGTGCTCTTGTTTATGTTTATATAGATGGCAAAGTTAGTTAGTATGGTTAGCAGTACTCTTTCAGTTTTTAAAGACAAACCTTAATCAAAATGATTTAGTTACTATGTTTACAGTAATATCACTACAATATTATGGACTAAAAGATCCGCTGTAAATGCTGCTCTACGAATGTAAACTATTACCGTAGTGTAGGATTTTCACTGCATTTTGTGATAGGATAGTCTATACATACACAATTGTTTGATGCTATTCTCTGCATATATCGAGAAATGCGGAGGTTTTTTTTCTCCCTTAAGGCGTACGATATCAAATTCCATTAAAACAACACTCCACCAGCAGTTCCTCGCATCTAATATCTCGTTTGTCACGGGGGCATGCATGAAATGTTCCTGAATGAAAGTGAAAGTGCCAAACTGCTGTTAAAGTCGACAAATTAAGAATGAAACACTTGAAATCAATAATAACTCGATGATGTTAATCGAATTATCGGATCATGACAGGAACATTCAAAAAGCTAATCATGTAAACACCTTCATATTATTGTCTCTCTGAGATTAAGGCAAATAATTTGATGACTGATGTCTATGTAAACTTGGTCACTGTCTATCTGTGTTTGTGTTTGTTTTGCCTCTGTGAAAATCAGCTGTAGTTCACATACTGAAACTCCCCTTTTTATGCAAACCCTTCCCTCTTTCGACACTCCCACCTAATCACACATGGACTCACCCACTTTCCTGACTTTTTTTCTAACTAGAGGTGAAAACACCCTGCTAAGACAGGTCCTTTAAATTTGTTTGATGATCGGAAATATTGTGACAAACATGCAGAAAAAAAATCAATGAGGGGCCAAACACTTTTTTCCCACACCATTGTATATTTATTTGAGAAAATGGCTCACACACATTTCATAAATGCTTGATTTTTTTAAATATATTGATCCAGTCAGGGGCATTTATGTTTAGTTTATTTAATTTTGCTTACTTTTTTCTTTACATTGTTTACTTTCTTTACACTTGTCCTATTTTCAACAGATTCTTTGCTTGTTACATTGTGTATGCATTTCTTATTCGTCTTTGTGCTTCCCATCATCATAATCATTTTGATTTGGTATTTTGGATCGATGTTGTTAATGTTTGTGGAATATTTCATAAAAGCTGTAAAAAAAAAATACTCAAGTAAATCTTCTGCCATACAATGAACATGAAGAAGACTTCATTTTGTATGAATTCTATGATGGTTCTTCAGCTCTGAAGCCCTAAATATGATTTGCAGCATTGATCACATGTTTCTCTCTGTGGATCCCTTTTAGAGTCTAGTGTGGATCTTCTCATGTCTTTTCAGTTTTTCTGACCAACTGAACCTCTTGTTGCAGTGTGAACACACGTACGGTTTCTCTCCAGTGTGAATCCTCTGGTGCAGTTTCAGTTCCCCAGCTGTAATAAATGTCTTCCCACACTCAAAGCACATATACTCTCTCACACCAGTGTGGATCTTCTGATGTGCTTTTAAACTTTGCTGACATTTAAATCTCTTTCCACACAATGAACATGAATAAGGTTTCTCCTTTGTGTGAACTCTAAGATGGACCTTCAGATTTGAAGCCCTCAAAAATGTTTTGCTGCATTGATCACATTCGTGTGTTTTCTCTCCAGTGTGGATCAACATGTGTAGATTAAGATCTGATGAACATCTGAAACTCGTCCCGCATTGAACACATGTGAATGGTTTCTTGCCAGTGTGGATCTTCATGTGTTTATTTAGGGCTGATGAACATCTGAAACTCTTCCCGCACTGAACACATGTGAACGGTTTCTCTCCAGTGTGAATCCTCATGTGTCGATTAAGGTGTGATAAACATCTGAAACTTTTCCCGCATTGATCACATGCGTAAGGTTTCTCTCCAGTGTGGATCCTCTCATGTGTTTTCAGGTTTCCTAACACACTGAATCTCTTGTTGCAGTGTGAACACATGTACGGTTTCTCTCCAGTGTGAATCCTCTGGTGCAGTTTCAGTTCCCCAGCTGTAATAAATGTCTTCTCACACTCAAAGCACATATACTCTCTCACACCAGTGTGGATCTTCTGATGTGTTTTTAAACCTGATTGACATTTAAATTTCTTTCCACACAATGAACATGAATAAGGTTTCTCCTTTGTGTGAACTGTAAGATGCCTCTTCAGCTCTGGAGCACTCAAAAATGTTTTGCTGCATTGATCACATTTGTGTGTTTTCTCTCCAGTGTGGATCAACATGTGTTTATTAAGGTTTGATGATTGTCTGAAACTTGTCCCGCACTGAACACATGTGAACGGTTTCTCGCCAGTGTGGATCTTCATGTGTTTATTTAGGTCTGATGAACATCTGAAACTCTTCCCGCACTGAACACATGTGAACGGTTTCTCTCCAGTGTGACTCATCATGTGTCGATTAAGGTGTGATAAACATCTGAAACTTTTCCCGCATTGATCACATGTGTACGGTTTCTCTCCAGTGTGGTTACTCTGATGCTGTTTCAGTTGTTCAGCTTTAATAAAAGTCTTCTTACACTCAAAGCACATATACTCTCTCACACCAGTGTGGATCTTCTGATGTTTTTTTAAACCTGACTGACATTTAAATCTCTTTCCACACAATGAACATGAATAAGGTTTCTCCTTTGTGTGAACTCTAAGATGGCTCTTCAGCTCTGATGCCCTCAAAAATGTTTTGCTGCATTGATCACATTTGTGTGTTTTCTCTCCAGTGTGGATCAACATGTGTTGATTAAGGGCTGATGAATGTCTGAAACTCGTCCCGCACTGAATACAAGTGAATGGTTTCTCTCCAGTGTGGATCATCATGTGTCGATTAAGGTGTGATGAACGTCTGAAACTCGTCCCGCACTGAGCACATGTGAACGGTTTCTCTCCAGTGTGGATCTTCATGTGTTTATTTAGGGCTGATGAACATCTGAAACTCTTCCCGCATTGATTACATCTGTACGGTTTCTCTCCAGTGTGGATCCTCTGATGACGTTTCAGATGTTCAGCTTTAATAAAAGTCTTCTTACACTCAAAGCACATAAACTCTCTCACACCAGTGTGGATCTTCTGATGTTTTTTCAAACTTTGCTGACATTTAAATCTCTTTCCACACAATGAACATGGATAAGGTTTCTCCTTTGTGTGCACTTGAAGATGGTTCTTGAGCTCTTGAGCTAACAAAAATGTTTTGCTGCATTGATCACATTCATGTGTTTTCTCTCCAGTGTGGATCAACATGTGTCGATTAAGGTGTGATGATTGTCTGAAACTCGTCCCGCACTGAACACATGTGAACGGTTTCTCTCCAGTGTGGATCAACATGTGTTCATTAAGGCCTGATGAATGTCTGAAATTCGTCCCGCACTGAACACATGTGAACGGTTTCTCTCCAGTGTGAATCCTCATATGAACTCTGAGACTCTTTTTGCAGCTCAGACTCTTTCCACACTGAGTGCAGGTCAAAAATTTCTCATCTTTTCTCTTCGGTGAGTGGGTTTTCTTTCTTGTTTTGACATTACGGCGTGTCTCCTCCATCAGACCTGAAGTAAAAAAAAACTGCATTTTAAATCAATTATCATTAAATCATGATCATTTTCAGTGTATCTTTAGAGTGTCATTCAGGTTGTTCGTAAGTATGATCAGTAGGTCGTGTGCATGAATTCAAGTACTGTTTAGGGCACTCATGAGCTTGGTTCACTACACATTGAGACACACTGAGCAGGACAAGAGATCGTTCTCGTTGTACATTATAAAGACTCTCCTTTACAAACAATAGCAGAGCTAATAATTTATAAAAACAGTTTTTAAGAGAACATTATAGCTAAATAATTTGATTGTGTCATATAGCGATAACACTTTAACCATTAAACAATTATAAATGTATTTTTCCAAACCTATATAGTTGTGTTTATTCGGTTCAATCATGTTAAAAAGAGTGTAGAAAGCATCTTTCGTTTGGTATTACGTTTGATGATTTGAGTCACGTGATTCTCTTGGAAATTGACTATAACCCTACCTAAAGCCCAGCTCACACCATGCAATTTTAATTAATCATATATTGTAGCTTGTCGTCAGACTTAGGGATGCTCAAAATAATCGATTAACCGTTAACTGAAAGGATGCGTTTGTAACCGATTATTGTTATCAGTTAAACGATTAAAATGATTATTTTGTATATTTTTAGTTTGGCTGCATAAGATGCCGATTGAATGCGCTTTTGCGTTAAGAGGGGCATCTTTTGCACGCGGCTCATCCCAGAGCAGCAGTTTGTGTTGTCAAGACAACTACAGAGAACTTTTAAAGAGCTTGGTTTCCGCTACATTCATTCTTCCATGGCGGGGACCAAAATGCATCCCGCCACGGCTACATTACCCTTTCAAAACATTCAGTTATTGTTGTTGTTGCTTTTTTTAATAGCGGATTTTAATCGCATCAAAACGTATTAAAAGGTAAGTGAATTATAACAGCGCAAACGTTTTTGTAAACGTATAGTGCTGTGCGCTATCTGTTTAATCCTTTGGGGTTACGTGCTGACTGACTGACTGACAGGTGCGTGATGTGTGAGGCCAGCAAACACGCAGAAGCTTTCAGTTAAGATGAACACAGTTTCTATAATTATACTTTATTTATTGATAAATTATGACTCTGCAATCACTCTATCTTGTTGGAGTTTATAGCCGTTTCGCTTTACTTCAGGACGCATTAACACCGCTCTGAAGGTCTAATCACTGTTTAAAGTTATCCAGAGCTGTATGAATGTAGAAATCTTGAATATGTGGCTACAGACACATTTGCCAAAGAAGCAAAATGGAAGGAGAATATTGCTGTTTGAAACAGAAGTGTTGATGCCAAAAAAAGTGTCGATGTTGACCTGGATCTGCGTCATAAACGCAACAAATAGGCTTTACCTTTTATTTTACAGCTTATAAAGCATGTATGCACATTAATGCAATATCATATTTAAACAACAAAACTGTTTACAAAAAGTCAACATATGCGCGCGTTGTTGTCTTTTCATCACGCAGCGCGCACACTTAACCGCGAGGGAGATAAAGGAAACCATATAGCAAGACATAATCTTTAAAATAATGATTTCTATAAAAATGTAAAAAGGTTTTGTGATTATAATAATAATAGCGGGGCATTAAATAAATGCATATTTTCCGTGGAGCGGGCAATTTGAGGAAGTCTGCTAATTTATTTGATCGACAAAAATATGATTGGAAAAAAACAGCCTATGCCGGTTATTAAGAATAATCAGTCATTGTTTTCGATTTGTAATATAAATTAATTATTTACGTGAAAAATAATTTAGGGCAGTCCTATTTATTTTATTCATTTTATTTAGTTTATTCTGTTCTTCTGTGCTAAACACTGCAGGTGCGTGAAAATGCTTTGTTGTTGTGTTCTATTATTAATATGCTAGCATATAAAAATAAATAAATATTTTAAAATGCAATATCTAATGTGTCAGACACAAAATAGAAACGTCAATTTGTTTAATATAAAATTAATAATATAATCTGACCAGTTAACCGTTAATAACCGATTAATGAGCGGCGGTTGTCGGTTAGCAAAATTAACCGAAATGAGCATCCCTAGTCAGACTGTAAGATCTCTGTCATCGTTTACTCATTCACGTTTCACAAAACAGTTTTAGTTTCCTCTGTTAAACACTGAAGTAGTTATTTTCAAAAATGTTGTAAACCTGTAACCACTGACTTCAATAGTGTTTGTTTTTCCTACTGTGCAGGTCAATGGTTACCGCTTTCTAACATTTTTCAAAATAACTCCTTTTGTGTTCAGCAGAAAAAAGAAACTTATAAAAGTTTGGAACAGTTTGAGAGTGAATAGCGAACACATTTTCATTTTTAAGCTCTTCCTATAGTTTTGGACGTCTCTTAAACATTTGCAAACATACTATGGTGTTTCGTGCTTTATAGAGTCAGAAATGAACATACAGCACACTTAAGTAAACTTTCCTGACTAACCACAAACTAACTTGAAAAGGAATGTGCTGCTAACTAAAATATGACACACAACACAGAAAATGAAAATACACTTGAATATCGAGACAGCAGGAGTTTGAGCTAATAATGAAGGAAAGCAACATACCTGTTTAACTCTGAAACAGACCCAAAATATGAAGAATAAAGGCGAGAAGTCAAGAGATGCAGTCGGATCTTTTCAGTCTGACCTGGTGTGTGAGTTGTTCATCTTAAAACATTCACACACACACACACACACACACACACACACACACACACACACACACACACACACACATACAGACACAGAGAATGAATTGTTGCTTCAAAGGTTAAATGGCACATAAAGATAAGGGCTATAGACTCATAGAGGGAGTGAGAAAGAATCTTCAGCTTAAAGGGACAGTTCACCCAAAGTTCACTCAAAAATGTAACATTTACTCAATAGCTGGAAACCTGTAACCACTTACATAGTTGGAAAAGTCAAAATGGTTGCAGATTTCCAACTTTCTTTAAAATATCTTCTTCATGTTTAACAGAAAAAAGAAAGTCATAGAAGTTTTGAACCAAGCGGCAACCTCTCGCTCTCCCTTGTGAAGCCAGTATGGAGGTAACTAAAACTGCAATTCATCAACTTGCCTTAAGGGGCTGACTGCAGAAAATTCAGACGTTTTCTGACTGCAATGGTAAATTGGCCAATTTTAAAGCTGATAAAAACATGTTTACAGCCTGGTACAAAACATGCTTTTAGTGTATATAATATTACCCTTCATGACGACTGTGAGGGCTGAATTTCTTTTATAACTCATCCGTTTCCTTTTTATTAGGTTATATTAAAGGTGCAGTAGGTGATCTGCCAAAATGCTAACCGCTTAGCATATTACCTTTGGACGGCGGGGAGGGACTGCGATTCAAAGCCACCCCCCCCGAAAACGCGAGCACGCACCACATCACAACAGCAGACAACCCACTAGTTCATGTCATTCGCCAGTTAGTGTCAGCCCCGTGCAGGAATTACATTTATTAATTAGCCACACTTACATGCTATTTCAGAGCGAATATTCAGAGTAGCATGGTAAACAGTATAGGAAGGCTGTCATTGTTTAAAAATGACCCAATGTGAATATAAAAGCAACTTCAGCTCAGTAAAGCAGGCTAGGCGCTATTTACTAATGTTTTGTTGTTAAACTAAATATAAATCTACATTATAGATGCTGTCAAAGGACCTTATGAAACTGAGAATAATCACATCAGTGTTAGCTAGCACAAGCATAACATAAGCTTAGCCTGACTAAAATAGTTTAAAAACAGAACATTACCTGTCTAACAGTAATACTTCAGCCATGGTGTCGTCCTTCCTCCAGCGTGCTAAACTAACTCCAATACCGATTCAGGTTTTTAAAAGTTTCAATGCAGCATTTGATTTCTCCCGGTCCGTCTCGTGACCGCACGGCCGCTTTAAGGGCGAATTATACTCGTGCCTGGCTTTACAGTAATCGGCCCGAGCTCGTCTGTCCTTCTATATCTGAAGCAGGGCTGCACGATATTGGAAAAATATGACAATGCAGCATTTTGTTTTTCTATAATTTACAGTTGAAGTCAGAACTATTCGCCCCCCTTTAATTTTTTTTCTTTTTTAAATATTTCCCAATTGATGTTTACCAGAGCAAGGAAAACTTCACAGTATGTCTGATAATATTTTTTTCTTCTGGAGGGTCTTCTTGGGGGTCATTAAATCATAAAAAGGGGTAAACTATGTGTCCTTTAAGTTAAGCTTTAAAAAAAATTGTAGTAATAAACACTCAGGTGAGGTTCAAACACGGGTCAGCGGTGTCGTAACGCAACATGCTGACCACTGGACCACAATGGTGCTGTTACAACAGGAAGAAAAAATAAATATTGCAGTGATACCTGCAAGGCTGCAAATAATGAATAAAGAGAGTGAGGCTATGGTTAACTAAATAAATAAATGAAAAGAGTGCGACTGCTGAGAGTGCAAGCAGCTAGGAACACCGGACCTCGCTGCCAAAAAACAGACCGGCCCACTGGGAATTCTCCCAGTTCTCCCGATTAGCCAATCCGGGCCTGATAAAGGGTATGGCAAACTTGAGGAAAATTGGATTTGTCCTGGGGAGAGACTGAGATGGGTCTGCTCCAGGCTGTTTCTGCTTTTTTGGAAAAAAAATCCAATAAAGTATATTCTTCTGATAGTCATAACCTTCAGACTGAGTTTGATTCATTAAGAGAAAAGCTGAAAACCACTACACCTTCTGTCTCGCTACAATCCAACCTGCTCTATAAGATCTTAAAACGCAGGGCTTCTGGTAGTACCTAGAATAGCAAAGTCGAGTAAAGGAGGTCGAGCCTTCTCATTTATGGCTCCTAAACTCTGGAATAGCCTTCCTGATAACGTTCGAGGTTCAGACACACTTTTCCAATTCAAAACTAGATTAAAGACCTATCTGTTTAATAAAGCATACACTCAATGCATCACTTAGTGGGTTTCCACACAGGTTTCTCACCTGAGCAGCTGCTCATGGAGGAGTGGAGAGCATGAGACTGATTCCTGTGACGCTCCAGGGACAGACGAGTCTTCGCTGAGGCCCAGCTTCCAGCCTCCGCCGCTGAGACTGCAGCTCTGCACAAGACGTTTAACCAGCGGAGAAATTAAAATGGTCGTGCCCAAATGAGCCTGGTTTCTCTCAAGGTTTTTTTTCTTCACTTTCGCCAACTGGTGAAGTTTTTTCAGTTTTTTGAAAAAAAAAAAACTTTGAAAACTTTTTCTTTGAACTTTTTCGCCAACCGCTGTCACATCTAGCTTGCATGGTTTGAGATCTAGAGCTACACATCGATGGATTTGCTCTTCAGCGTTTGGACTCTCAGTAGTGATTTTTAAACCACACTGAACTGAGCTAAACTGAACTGAACTTAAACACTAAAAATCTGAACTGCACTGTTCCAATTTAGTATGATTTATTATGTGAAGCTGCTTTGTCGCAATCTACATTGTAAATTTGTAAAAGCGCTATACACATAAAGCTGAATTGAATTGAATATTGTTCAGCCCGTATGAAGTCATTTAGTATGGAAATGTGCAGAACTTCAGTAAACTCTCTGTCCACTGATTTAACATTATCAAAGATAATATATGAAAATGTAAAATATTCAGGGTCCCTGCGGGGTCTTAAAAAGTATTAAAAAGTCTTAAATTAAAAAAATCAAAATTTATGGCTTTAAAAAGTCTTAAATTTGCTGTTCTAGGTCTTAAATATTTTTGCACAGGTCTTATTTTTGCGATGTCCGTGTAACGTTACATCTAATGCTTATTTAAATTCTTTTTGTTGTTGTTGCTAGATTTTTGGGGTGTTGTAGTTCTATATTTCACAAGTCCAATTGTAATTAGCGGTATTACAACTACAAAAAAGTCAACTTGCAATAGCCAATCAGCTTTCTGTTATTAAACTCAGTGCGCGCGGCGAATGTGACGTCATCGCTGAGTTTGCGGAAGTTCGCTTTGAGTGCGCGTGACATGATTTCGGCTGGCAGAGTATGCCGTTATTTCACTGACACATGTCGCAAGCGCAGTTTTATAAGTCGGGAGTGTTGTAATGCGATAGAGCGAAATTTAAATAACTTTATTTTACCCCTAATTTTGTGCTTTTACATTTTCTCTCGCGTGTTTTTGATATTGCGATATAGGTCTTAAATTTAATACTTAATGGTCTTAAAAAGGTCTTAAAAGGTCTTAAATTTGACATTATGATATCTGCAGCGACCCTGATATTGAATAATAAATATGTTGGTCTCTCTTTTGGGTCTTCACTGTAATTTTTCTACAGCTTACAATATGTTAGGAATATTAAGTGAAGTTTATTTAAAAAACTAAATTTGTGAGGTTCACATGATTATGATTGAACACGGCTGGTTCTGCATTAAGTAATGTATGATTCACCAATCAGATGATTCCCAACTCACTATAAAGAGCCAGGGTTTCTTACTAGTTATATTCGCCTTAAAGAATCCCCCCTTCCACCCCTACTCTTCCACCTTTCCCTTCACAGAGTGATTAACACTGTTGCCTGACACCAAGAATGTCACTGGTTCTAGTCCTTAACAGGCCAGCTACAAAGGGGGAGTTCTCGAGACCTATCTGAGCTCAAACTCCCCTTTCACTCTGCAAACGGGAGGGAGACCAGGGCTCAAGGATCTTATGAGCTCAGGGCTCTCTCCAAGGTCAGCATGCCAAATTCGCTTTATAATCAGTCATCAGCTAAGTGTAAACTCTTGAACACCTAATTGTTTCCACATTTTGTAGCATATATTAACTCCACATGTGGTAAATTCATTGTAAAAAAAAATGCAGGGTTACACACAATCACTTCATGTTGTCCCAACTTAAATCAAGTTAACTTCCAAATTTAAGTTGATTAAACATAAAACAATTAAGTTAACCTAAAAATAAAGAAGAATTTCAGAGTGTTGGGCTGATTGAACGTGATGTGGAAAAGCACACATCTGTCTATATAAGTTAACAGCAATTAAATCCCCACACAAACTCTGTATTTGACAAAAAAATGGAGGTATTCAGCCAGGGATTTTCATTTGGACTGTTATAAAGTCAGCCCAAACTCACAAGGAAACCTAATTATTTAACATATTGTCAGAAAATGCCTAATTCATATGAGTTCACATGATTTTATTAACTACTGTACCTCTCACTGGGAATGAGCAAATCGTATTAAAATGTACAAATAAGATGCCACAAAATTAAAAATTGGAGGTTGTAAAGTCACCAACCCCTTTAAATAGTGGAAATCTCCACTGAGAAACATTTTTGGCGTACCAAAAAACAAACCCAAAGAGTGTTCTGATAACCGAAATATAACACGCTGAATGAAAATACTTAATCAAGCAAACAACATACCTGTTTAAATATGAAGACAAAAAGATAATCAGTAAAGGCATGAAGTCATTCCTTTGCAATCCAAACTGGTGTGTGGGAGTTGTTCGCCTTAAATCACAGACACACACACACTGGACAAAACTTGCTTCAAGGTTAAGTGAACGGCTCCTATCAGGCTCTTTCCCAAAACAAACAGATCAAGTACAGAGAAGGAGAAAGAAAGAAGTTCAATCTTCAGCTTAATGTATTTCTGAACATCCGAACATATTCGTAAAATAATATTTATTATTGGAAGTGTTTGCTTGCTTTTATTAACCATTTTTTTCCTCAAACACATGCCAAAGTCAATGTGAAATGATGCCATAAAGCATTGCTGAGAGACTCTGTACAGTGTATTTTACCATCATGCAAAATGATGTGAACAGCTCAGCTCCATGGACATTTGAAATGTACTCAGAAAGCATTGTAAGCCCACTTAAACACCACAAAATATCTGTAAATTAGCAGTTTTCCATATTTTGTGAATTAGGTTTTCATTTTTCCCCATTTATTTATGCTTTTGAATTGCGTTATTGGATCTTGAGCTTTCTGTCAGCATCTTTTAACCTTGAAAAGTTTGAAAAAGTTACTTTTGTTTACATTTTTGATAATTTAAAGCAATATATTTGATCATGTACTTTATATTTTTATATATTAAAGTGATATAGTCTGTGCTAGTGTTGTATATTACAGTATAAAAACCTTGTAATGAACTCCCAGCTCTGTTGTTTTACAAACTTATTTTTCTCTCTATATATATATATATTTTTTTTTTCTAATAAAATGTTATTTCAGGCTACTAAAATGTCAACAAAAGTCACATAATATAAAATATAAACGTCGCATTAATATTTTATAAAACTAAAAATCCGGAGCCTGTGATGCTAACAGCCGATTAGCCTAAACAAGCCCAGCAGATGGCGGTGTGAATATATTCTGTGGTTCACTGTAAAGTAACAGAAGAAGTGAAAGGGGTCTATGAAGTTCTGTGTGTTTACAGTATTTCAGCTTGTATATTCCAATCAGTCGTCTGTTTTAGTTTTAGTTTCTTTATAGTAATGTTACTTGAATGCGCGTAAGTGTGTTTCACATTGCGAACTGCTGGACACTGAAATATGACGCTTTTTTTCAGTCATCGCCTTTTCACAGTCTGGAGGCTGAAATGCGGAGTGATGGACATTGGCTGGCCGTCTGTTTTACCTGCTGCTGGGAAGAAATACCAGATTGAGTTGCCAGTCGTGCATGAAGAAGAGCTCGAGGAGCAGTTTGTTCGCGGATCTGGACCTGGAGGACAAGCGACCAACAAAACCAGTAACTGTGTGGTGCTCCGACACATTCCCAGCGGGATCGTCGTCAAGGTGAGGCCACTGAATTGAGGTAAAGCTGGTTTTATATTCGCACTTTCTCCTTAATAATATTTAAGAAAAGTATTGTTTGCTAATGCTAAATAGGGAAATTATATTAGCAGCCGATGACTATCAAAGTACAACAGTGTTTACGTTCAATATTAGTGCTAATGTTGTTTTGAAGTCATACTTAAATGCGATTTCAGACCTTAAGTTAGCCTGGTAAACAATAGAAACCGTAAATGAACGAATCTGCCAATATAAACTTTACCTCAATGTCCAACTGCTGATCTGGATGCTCGTCAGGGTGTAAATACTCAAAATTATATCATTAAAATTACTCAAGTCGAATGAAGGACACTGTATGGCAAGCCGAATAGCATTTAAAGTTTCCACGTGAAGTTAAAATTACCTTTAAGTGAATAATTAATTAAATAAATAATTAATCCGTGTACGTTAATCCAATAATTGTTTAATTAGAGTCTGACCGTTTGGAGTAACGGTCGTTCTGTTGACGTCACCTTGATGGCTTCCATAGCAACTGCATAGCAACATTCTTAACCACATCCCTCTTGACGTTAAAGCCCGATTTTAAGGCTGATTAATAACTTTGGCTTTGTCCGCAACCGCATACTTCCATACTGTATAGTATGCTAAAATGCAATATTCTGCAAGCTACTCGAAAAAATGTAGTGAACTAAACTATTAGCTTCTCTACTTAAAAAATAATTAAAATGCTACAGTAATTCATAGTAAAGGGAAACACTTAATGTTATCAATAACTATTGTGTGTGTGTGTGTGTGTGTGTCTGTTTACAACTCTTTATTAATGAATTACACTACAAAATGTAGTAATAACTATAATGAACGAACAGTAATTACCATAGAAACTTTAGATTTTACTACAGTACAGTAAACTATATACAAATAAATCTGTGGTCTTTCAATCAAGCAAGTTTCTCGTGTCAGCCCTGCTATTTATGCTTGCCATACAGTGCCTTTCATACCACTTAATGATATAATGTTGAGTATTTACCCTGTGGTGAGCATCCAGATCAACACTGAGGTAAAGTTTATATCCGCACATTTGTTCATTTTACCGGTCCCTATATTGTTTACCATGATAACTTAAATATTCTGTCGGAAATCGCCAGTAATTGTGACTTGAAAACAACATCAGCACTATGAAATTGACTGTTAACAATGATGTACTTTAACAGTCATTAGTTGCTAATATGATTTCCTTATTTAGAATTTGCAAAGAGGTCGGCACCAATAGCTAGTGCGTCAACACATAACACCAAGGTGCTAAAGACAACCAGAGTTGATTCCTGGCTCGAGGTCCTTTGCCGATCCCTCCCCCATCTCTGCTCCCCACACTTTCCTGTCTGTACATCTCTACTGTCCTATCAATAAAGGTGAAAACCCCTAAAAAATAATTATTAAAAAAAAGAATTTGTAAAGAGTTACTTTTCTGATATTATATTATTAAGGAGAATGTCTGAATGGTGAAACCCAACTTTACCTCAATTTCTAAATTTACTGTCATCTAAAAAGGAATGATTAAATAATACAATCTTAAATATGATTTTCTATGTAAAGTATAAAGTAGTGTTCATTTTTTTGGATGTGTATAAATATATTTGAAAATAATATTCAAAAGCAATAACTTTAGCCCCAATTATTAAAAGAAAAAGTTTTGAAAGTAACAATAGTTTATATCTATTTCTATATATTTTGACCAATCTCTTAAGGAACAGTGCAAATTATGCATACAGATGAAGTCAGAATTATTCGCCCCCCATTGATTTTTTATTTTTTTTTCTCTTTTTATTATTTCCCAAATGATGTTTAACAGAGCAAGGAAATTTTCACAGTATGTCTGATAATATTTTTTCTTCTGGAGAAAGTCTTATTTGTTTTATTTAGGCTAGAATAAAAGCAGTTTTACCTTTTTTAAAATATTTTAAAATTATTAGCCTTTTTAAGCTATATTGTTTTTGATAGTCTACAGAACAAACCATCGTTATATAATAACTTTCCTAATTACCCTAACCTGCCTAGTTAACCTAATTAACCTAGTTAAGCCTTTAAATGTCACTTTAAGCTGTATAAAAGTGTCTTGAAAAATATATTGTCAAATATTATTTACTGTCATCATGGAAAAGATAAAATAAATCAGTTATTAGAGATGAGTTATTAAAACTATTATGATTAGAAATGTGTTGAAAAAAATCTCTGTTAAACAGAAATTGGGGGAAATAAACAGGGGGGCTAATAATTCAGGGAAGCTAATAATTCTGACTTTAACTGCATATATAACTTTCAAGCAGATCAGATCTGTCAATTCCACACTATTATTATAATCACATGTCATCTTTTCTTCTCTTGCAGTGTCACGAGACCAGATCGGTGGATCTGAACAGAAAACGAGCCCGAGAGATTTTACGCGAGAAACTTGAAGTGGCGTATAAGGGTGAGGAGAGTGAACTGCTGAAAATGAAAAAGGAATCCATGCAAAAGAAACAGGACAAGCGGAGAAAAGTCAACGAAAACATCGAGAAGAAAAGACGATTCAAGGAGATGCTCAACTCAAAGCAAGAAGATGACAAATCCACATGATTTCTAATATCTTTTATTAGTTATGAACTATATACAGAAGCACTTCAGCATTGTGTATATCATAGGTCTTAAACTGGATTCCTGGAGGGCCGCAGCTCTGCACAGTTTGCTCCTACTCTAATCAAACACAGCTGATTCAACTGTTCAAGGTGTTCAAGACTGTTAAGCAGGTGTGGGTTGGAGGTGGTTGGAGATAAACTATGCAGATCTGCGGCTCTCCAGGAATTGAGTTTTACACCATTGGTGTTGATTATGAAACTGTGGATGAACGCAGTGTTTGGGACAGTGTTTTATGAACTAAACAAACTGCCAACAGAGAAAACATTCAAGCTTGTGAATAAATTTGTCTTGATGAATTGAAAACTCAAGCCTCTGAAAGATGGGCAGTAGTTTGCTGTTTGAAGTATTAGAAAATCACCTAAAGGCTAGTTTATATATTCGTGTTTCAGCATAACAAGTTATAATAAATCATTGTGTTCATCTGTGGGACCTCAATCTATCACCAGTCACATTGGGTACGCTTACATGGACACCAATAATCAGATTTCAATGCGATTAAGACAATACTCTGATTAAGAGTCGACCATTTAAACAGAATTTTTTTAATTAATTTAATCAGATTAAGGTCATAATCCAACTAAAGAGAAATGGGATTAAGACATGTGGAGTATGCTGATTTTAGTCGCATTATTAAAGTGCAGTACAGACATGTAAACACTGCAATCAAACTATTACCATCATGTAGGACTTTTCGCTGTGTTTGCAACTGGATAATCCATACACACGGCTGTTTGACACTATTCTCTGCACCTACCGAGTCAGTGAAGACCACAGACATACACCATTAACTGCGGAGGTTTTTTCTCCCATACAGCGTGCGGTATCAAAATCCATTATAACAACACTCTTCCAGCAGTTCATAGTTGCATCCAATATCTCGTTTGTCATGGGGGCATGCATGAAATGTTTACGATTGAAAGTGAAAGTGCCAAACTGCAGTTAAAGTCGACAGATTACAAACGAAACACCCGAAATTACATGAAAACGTGAATGGTGTGGTGATGCAATGACGTTAATTGAATTATGTGCTATAACATGTAAAACGGGATCATGAAAGGAACATTCATTAATCTCTTAATTAGATTAAGGCAAATAATTTAATCACTGGTGTCCATGTAAACATAGTCAGTAATTTTACCAAGGTGGGTTAAACGTAGGGCTGCACAATATATGGTTTCAGCATCAATATCGCGATGTGATCATTCACAATAGTCACATCACAGGATATGCAGTGTTGGGTTTGTATTATGATCAGTGCTTAATTTGAGGAGGATCTTACTGGATCCTCTTCTGGGAAATGTCAGATATTTGTGTTCCGGTATTAATTTTGATTGATTTGGCATTAACATTTGCGTTGTGAATATCTGCACATGTCTTTGTGTATGTGTGTGTGTGTGTGTGTGTGTGCGCGTGAGAGAGAGAATGAGTCCTAGTGAAAAACACTAAGCAAAGTTGTGTGCATTGTGTACACATGCGCACACACATAAAGATAGTCACTTTCGTTTTTTATCAGCTTTCTAACGTTTACAATTACACTAGTTGGTGATTACTGTTTGGCATAGTAGCCAACCTAAATAATATTTGTGTTTTCAAAATGCCAGAGACTATATATATATATATATATATATATATATATATATATATATATATATATATATATATATATATATATATATTGAAACCATAAGTACATCTGATAATGAACAAGAAAAGATGAAGCTGCGCCCCTGGATCAGGATAGCAGGAGACTGAAGCAAAGCGATCCCAAGTCAGCCAGAAAACAACGGAAGAGGTGAGTGTGGGCTCTTGAGGATTAGACAGAGTGAGTCATTTTCGCTTGGCACATAATAGTGAAGTGAACTGAATGTCAGGGGTGTTAGTAATCTGAATAGTGATGTTTCATACGAATTATGTTTGTACACTGTAAAACCCGACAGTCAACTTGATCGATAAGTAACTCAAAATTGACTGAAAGATATTTCTACTCATTTGAAAAGAGTTTAACTCAGTGTTGAAGGTAAAGAGTTAATTTAATACCTCATTACTTCAACTTAAATGGAGTAAGTACTCAGTACTCATATAGAATGAGTTTTTGGGTTTGAGTTCTCTTCATTTATTGGGTTTCACTGTGCTCAAATTGCTTTATTTACTTAAATGGAGTAAGTTCACAGTACTCTTATAGATTAGTGTTTGAACTTAATTGATTGTTGCAATCAGTTTCCTTAAATGGTTTGAGTTACCTTGACTTTTTGGGTTTTACAGTGTAACTACATGCTTGTTTTTTTATCCATGGTTGACCTATAACGTTATATTGCACAAAATAATTAAAGACTGTTCAGAAATTTCGCTATAACCACTTCATGTCGGAAGTACGTCACGAAGCACGCGTGCATTAAACCAATCACAAGCCTCCTCTCCAGGAGTCTGACCAATGAACGCTACGATTGATTTTTAAAACCCCAAGCAGCCGCAATTCTGCAACTCTACATGTCTTTCTGATTGTGGTTGGAAATCTACTCCAATATGGGAAAAGGTAAAACAATTACAAACGTTATTAGCACACAACTTTAAGCTAACGTTAGCGAACTATTTTAGTTTGCGGGGAAACGATTATATGTGTTGTTCTGATGTTTATTGACGAGAACATGCTGCAGATGTTATAAGTTACCGTTATATTCGAGTTTTTCGTAGTGAATGTAGTGTTTTGCTAATGAAATCCTGTTGCTTTGCTGCATTATTCTCGTAATATTTTGATAAATTTGTATTTCTAATGTACAAATTAGGTAAAAAGTCCAGTTCTGCCAAAAGGAGACCTGCAGACATCAACGTGATGGAGAAAACTGACAAAGAAGCCAAAGAGAACAAGCAAGTCAAGCCCACGGTAGGAGAAATGATCTGTATTATTTCATATGTTTACTCTGTATGTTGGTGTCTTAAGAGGGTCTTGTTGAGGTAAAGTTACGTGTTTTTGTGTTCATACATTCAGACTTTCAACTTTAATATAATTTCACTATAGCATTCTTTGCAAATTCTGAATACTCAGATCATATTAGCAGCGAATGACTAAAGTTGTTTACAGTCAGATAAATATGTCGTTTTCAAGTCATGTTTGTATGTGATTTCAGACTGAATTTCCAAAGTACCATAAACAATTTAGCCAGCCACAAGTTGTAATTGAACGAATATGTGAATATAACATTAACTTTACCTTAATATGCTTCATCTGTGCAAAAATACTACCTCAATTTCTTAATTTTTTTCTCATGTGTTACTTGTTCTTATCATACTGTAATTGTACGTACCTGTATTCCAATCTCTTTAGAATACTTGCTGATTTATATTGGGTTTTTTTTCTTTTCTAAATAAAAGTAAAAATAAATAAATAAATAGAAAACTTCTTCAAGACTAAATATTGCTTTGTGTGTGTTACAGACAGCTCAAGGACAGCCAACAATAGAAAGTTGTCTGAATCTAAAGAAACCGATCCGGAATAAACCACTTTCCCCTGTTTTAGATGACAATTCTACAAAAAAGGCGAACAAACAAAGTGAAGGTATTGCTTTTATGTAATCTGCAAAAAAGTTTCTCAGTCGTTTTCTAGTCCAAATATAAATAAAAAACGATTTGTTTAATGTAATAATTAAGCAAAATTGTGTGCTTTTGAATTTTTTTGAATTTTGTTTTTTTAAATGTTCAGTTTAATTTTTTTAATAAAAAGGCAAAATAATCTGCCAATGGGGCGAGTGAAAAATCTTGTTTCTGGTTTGAATTATGATTAATTAGTTTGTTTTACAGGAAAAACTCACTTTTTTAATTATTATTTCTTAAAACAAAACAATATTTATATTATTGTCCAAAAGGGCTTCTTGATTTTAAGAATTTGTGGATCTGTAGTCTGAATTTGTAGATTTTTTTTTGACAATTCTGAAAAAAAGATGAGCAAACAAAGTGAAGGTATAACTTTTATGTAGCTTTTGTCTCGTTTGTAGTCGAAATATCAAAACATTCTTAAGTCAAGAAGATTTTTTTGTGACAAGTAAAAATATAGTTTTCTTTCAATAAATAATTAGTCAAAATTAAGCCTGTTTTTTTCTTTAAAATTTTTTTAAAAATCTGCCCATGGGGTAAGAGAAATAATTTTGTTTCTGTATTGAAATAAAACATTGGCAGATTATTTTGCTTGTTTTACAGGAAAATTCACTTCACTTTTAATATATTATTACTTAAACAATACAATATTTTTTTAGTTGTCTAAATCCTTTTTAATTTAAGAATTTGTAGATATTTGGACTAAAAACCAGACCTAAACTCCTATGCAAGTAAAGCCTTTTTTGTATTGAATTACTTTTTTCAAAGTTGCTTTTGCTTGATGCTTTGCTCTTTATTTCTCTAGCCAAAGATGCGGATGAGCTGAATGTTTCTAAACAAGAGGAGCCTGTAGAGCAGATCATCATCTGTGGACATAATGAACAGACTGCTGTACCTCATAAAGCCTCTGAGACGAGGAAACAAACTAAATCTGGCCAAAGAACGAATAGGGAAAAGTCAACAGATAGAAAGTATGTCTTGCCTATTAAATATATACACTCTTTAACCATTTATGATTTGTGTGTGAGAGATTTAAGTTCATTTAAAAAAAAAAAATGTTTGTAGGATCATCTGACATAGTTTTTTTTTATCTGTGTATTTCATTTAATTTTAATTCTTTAGACTGAAAAGCAAAGAGTCTCTTCCAAATCACAAGGTCACAGATTATTTTCCTGTACGGCGAAGTTGTAGGAAAAGCAAAGCCGAGTTGAAGGTTAGTAAATTATTCAGACGTCTGTTTTTAATCTTAAAGTTGTATATATTTTTTGTTTATTTATTAGTTTTCCACTAAATGGCAATTGATAGTCTCTCTTGAACTCATTTGGGTAAATATAGGCTTTAAACTGTTTACTTTTTCTTCTGTATTAGCAATATATTAAAAGAAACTAGAAAATTAATAAAATAATAACAATTAGTTTTGCTATAAAATGAGCTCCATTAGCCTGGGCCACACACACATATTCAGCATAATAAGCAGTTTTTCTTGAGTAACATTAAATTCTGGACCTCTATTGTTACTTTTATTTCATTGACTGTTTCCATCCACCTATTGTTATGCGAATTTTGGATATGTGCATTAAACAACAGTCGATGGAAATGCCAGGATGCACATACATTTTAAAAAAATACATAAAAACATATGCGCATCATAACTGAGTAGGATATACTTTTTATTCAATAAAAAAAGATGCACAAACTACAATGGAAACTATTTTACCGAACAAATTCCACTGTGCATTAAAAAGTCATGTGATTTTGTTATCAGAAATCATGTGATGATAAAAATGTGTGTAAATGGACAAGCCAGCAGGCTGAACGCACTGTAAAACATATGAAATGTT